TCATTGACTCTTCAGCAATCCCTCACACCAAGCATTCTTGTAGCGACAGTGGAGAGGAATATTTCTTAGTTCAGACATGTTTTAAGAGCAGAAAAGCTCAGTTTCCTGTAATAAAACTTGTTACTATGAAATTAATCTGAATGTTTAAAGGCAGATTATCATTCTATTTGAAAATCAGGTGCCAGAAACCAACATTTCCTAAATTAAAAGAACAGATTTGAAATATTTCCACTTCAGATCTACTGAAAACAGAATCTTTTGCTTCATTCTGGTCTTCTAACAATAACTAAACAGTGCAAGTTAGCAATTCCATAACAAAGCAACTGGAAATGATAAGCTCAGGCTCTGGAACAGGGACAGATGTTTTATTAATTTATTATAAACATGATGAAGCTCCACCAGCAGCTTCTCATCACATCAGAAATAAATTAAATCTTCAGTCAAACAACAAATTGAAAAAGGGGAGAAAATGTTTAGAACATGAACCATGCAGACATCTTTCTCTGAGGAGTGAAGTCCAGAGGCTTTAAGCATAATTAGGATAAATTATGTAACTGATGAATATTAGGTGATTATCTACTTAGACTATTAGAGATGCTGCTTTGCTTTAAACTGTCCCGGTTCATCCTGCTCATCGCTGAGGAGATAAAGAACCGTTTTTCATTTTCAGACGTGTCATGATATACTTTACTCCATTGCTTATATTTCTTTCTACTTCTGACTTCTACTCATTACATTTTCACACAGTATCTGTACTTTCTATTCCTTACATCTTTAAATCAAACGTTACTCGTCACTCTTGGCTTCGGTTTAATGCAGCGGATCGGCGGACCGCGGTACTTCTACTTAACTAACAAATGTGTGTACTTTTGACACCACAGTTCATTTTTTTATGATTTGTGGCATTTCCCTTTCTGCTATCCTACAGTGTTTATTTAAAATAGTTTAAACTTAAATATCCCAGAGTGGATGCTTTCCTATCCTGTGGAACTCCTCATCCTTCTGCTGGCGGCTCCCTGTGGAAGATCTCCCCGTCCTGCTTCTTCCAGCTCAGGGTGATGTTAGCCTGCCCGCCGTTTTCCTGAAGCTTCTTTTTAAGCTGAAAAACAAAACAAAAAAAA